GTTTTCTTTTTAAAAATGCATTACAATCAGGCATTTTGATGTGTCAAAGCAAATTATGCCATGTGATATTTTATTTTCAAAATCACAGAAAGTCTGAAATGTTAAGCATGGGGATTATGTCATGCATTGATTGTTTCATTCTGCATTGTCGATTTTATTTGCAGTTGTCTGCAGAATTGATTGTGTCTGCATGTGGACGTTGATTTCATCTGTGATGTGTATTTTATGTTCACAGGAGGAAGTCTTCAATTCATATCGCTACCAATCGTTGGAAAGTCCTGGAGCTGGTGGGATTGGTACAGCCCGAGGATTGGCCAAGTTGTTTGGTATTATAGCCAACAGGGGTGAATGGAACGGGAAACGATTATTATCTAATGATTTAGTCAAGAAATTTACTGAATGTAATGAAGAAAGACTGGATGAAGTAATACACATCAAATCAAGTTTTTCATATGGGATGTATCCTCATGCCGAAGTCAAAGGTGGTATTCCAGTAAGTAATTTTAGAGAATATTTTTGGTCAAAAACTTTTATTGTCGACTTCTTATTGAAAAGCTTTACTCTGATTGTTTTGATACTTAGTATATGTACCTTGGGTGAATCTTTATAGATTTGAACATTTCGTGACAATATATAATTAAGTCTTTAATTTTTCTTGTTTGACTTCTTCTTCAGTTGATAACTGCCAGCTCAATTGATTTGATACATTACTTGAAATATATGTTAGATTAGCTCATTTTGTATACTGTATCAATTCAAAAACATATCCTATAACTTTGTTTTGAGGAAGACACGCTACAAAGACAGCTATTTTGATCGTGATTAGTGCACATTAGCTATGCATAAAAATAGTTTTGTTTATTCCTTTGAAGAAGCTATTGGATAAGCAGAACATAACTGCAAGAAAATTCACTTTAATGATAAGGTTATTACCTTTCTGTATTAAATGAATGATTTTATTAAAAGGTACCGGTATAATCAGTTCGGGCAAAATAAAATAAAAAATTTGCCTACCTACAAAGAAAACCTGTTATCTTTTTTTTTCAGTTCAGTCTGGACAGAATCTTCGGTCACAATGGTCATGGAGGTCAAGGGTCATTCTTTGATGCAGATCACAATCTCTCATTTGCATATGTAACATCAAAGTTATCGTCATTTGGGCATGGTGGTGATGAAAGATACATGGCATTGGTCAAAAGTACATACGACTGTTTAAAGCAGATGGAAACAAAATAATTCCATAGAAGTTCATGTCATATTTTGACATGCAGTATCAGCAATCTTCATACTTTGGCAAGTTCCCATTTTTTCGCTGTTTTTTTGAACAAAAATAAAGTTTTTGTGGTGCATCAGAAGAGTAAGTGTTCTGGGTATTCAACTGACCTGATTAGTTTAGAACCACTTATCAGCTCTTGGATGAAACTGAAAGTTCTCTCCTAAACTCATTACTGTGCTTGCTTTCAAATTGTTTAAACTCAAAGTGTAAATGAGGTATATTAGTAAAATTTTAAATACTCCCTATTTCCACTTCATGTGCAAAAAGTACCAGATATAGATTGTTTAGAACTTTTGAAAAATAGTTAAAAAAATTTAATTAATCCCATAGTTAAATTGTTTAATTTAATTCAGTCTTCCCAAATATTTTGCATTTGAGTACCATAACACATAAAAAAGGGGATAAAATTGAATCTACAGAATTACAGGGGCATATCAGTATCAAGTAGCATTTGAAAAGTCTTCTGTTACATCATAAATATTTACAATAATATAGAAGAACACAAAATATTCAAAAGTAATCAGGATTCAGAAAAAAGGAACAGAACAACAGATCAAAGGTTTGTATTGAAAACTTTAATACAGAGATATACCAAGAACAAAGAAAAGTTATATTCATGTTTCGTAGATTTTGCTAAGACATTTGACTGACTGGAGAGAAGGCGTATCATAAATTTAATTTAAAATTATTAGAAACATATATATATATATATAACATATGTACAAAATAATTATATATTAAATAATTATATAACAGGGTACATCCCATCACAAGCCCCACTCACTTTTATATTTTTAGTCCTCATTTCAGATGCGGCCTGGAAAGGGGAGTTTAGTTTCTTATTGACGGTTTCCGTCCGTCCACTTTCCTTTACATCTCCAACATTTTCTCTGAAATTCTGCAGCAGATATCAATGAAACGTGGCAGGTTGATGAACAAGACTCTGTTGAATGTGCATGTAATTTTTGTAGGTCTTTTTCATGATTTTCATCGAAAATTACCTCTCCTCACAACACTGAGAGAACAACTGAGCATGCTCAGAATAAATTTATTAGGTTAGAGTAATGCTAGGGTGTTAAGTGATTTTTCATGACCTTGATCTGAATCAGTGACAGAAATGAACCACAGTCAGGTTTTTGTCTGGTTTCATGAAAAATTAATGCTGAAATGTTGAAAAAAGTATTCAGAAATGTTGTTGTATATTATATCTTTAAACTGTAAAAATTGCATTCCATTATAATGAGCCATCACTGAAATACCTTGTCACAAAGTTGAAGATCAGTGAAAACACTGGGCAGTTACTGTTTATAAATCTTGGCCAGGCACATTGACACATGTGGTATAAATATAGCTTCAGTTGTCAGCATCTACATGGATAAATGGGTCGTACCATTACGAGTCTCAGTGAAAACTATAGAGGGGGGTCAGGGCTACATTGTGATTGGCATTATAGTGATGATACTGAAACAAAACCCAGGTCCTGGTAATATACAAAGACCCGAATTAACAAAGAAGTCAAGTTGTTATTAAAGGTACATCAAGGTTTACTCAGATTTATGAATGCAGTTTCTTGAGCGTTATGAGACATAGTTTGGTTGCACTTGTGTACCCTGAGATTTTGGACATGGGTCAATGGAAGTTTTCAGTACAATACTAGATTAAGGGAAATCACTTTATGATGAGTTGTACCCACATAGAGTACATATTCAAGTGTTTGTAGATGTTTCATATATTATTTTAACAGGAGTATTTTTATTCATGTCTTGTTATTAGTGATTAAAAAGACAATTTGGACAATGTTATAACAGATTCCTCTAATACAATACTTATTATAACTCAATTATGTATGCTGATGATGTATCACTTATTCATTTTGGATAATTATTGTGCTTCGTAGTTTGCTTAATAGAATTGCTTCAATTATATTAGTGCATGCGTAACCTACATAGCAACGGGCGAGGGTACGACAAAAATATAAAAGTCAAAAGAGCACCGGTAGACATGCAACCCGGAAGAAGTCAGTGGCATATTTTAAACAGTTGTTTTTAAAGTGAGTGAGTATGGGTACACCAAGGGCAGATAGAAGAACTATTTAAGACAGTTGAGAAACATGGATTTTCAGTTGAAAAAGATGATTTTTCACGGAAATTGGACTGAAATAGAGATGACACGTGTGTGCTTCACAGAGTAAAATATGACAGCGACATAGTTTTTCAACTCCCAAAATACCCACAAAAAATATTACGCTATACCCAAAGATAATTTTCTTGCTCGTTATTGTTGCTTAGACAGAATAGTGTGCAACTTTTCAGAAACTGGTACGAGTTAGTTTTGAAGCGTTCGGTAGTTTCAAAATCTGTCTCGCACATTCAGCTTTGTTGACACTACGCGCAAGCGCACAAAGGATGCTCGCGCAAACGCTATCAATTCGAGAACCGGGAATTCTACTTGCACCACACCAGTCACTCTTACACTCTCAATGTGAATAATTTAAATAATTAATAATATTTGAAGGATTAAACTAGTGTCTTTCTTAGTTTGTCATATGAGAATGTAAAAACAAACTTCCAAAAAGACGTTTTAAATTATGCAGATTCAGTGCCCAGTGACTATGAAACTGTTCCGTTCACTATGGACTTTTCTCAAATACGTTTTCTGCTTTTTAGTGTCAGCAATTTCACCGGTATTGACAACGCTACTGAAATAATAACAACTGTACAATGAACTCCCTGCCAACCCATAATGGACTCAAGCTTTCGCTCACCATAGGGTTTCGTCCACTATTAGTCCTCGTTCGAACGTAGCAAGTTGACAATGACATAGACATAGACATGCACCTCAATTTGTTTTACTTTAACTCGTGATCTATGCCTTTCTTTGCTATGGAGGGGTCGTCACGCAACACGTGTTCGAATTTGATGTAATTAAACAATCTGTTGTATTTGCCACTTCGGACTCGAGTTTCAAGGACACGCTCGCAACAACCCCTCCGCTTTAGTATGACGAGCACAAAGAAACTTTTCAAAATTTAACGGGCACTGTGTCATTTTCAATGACTTGTTCAAATAACATAGACCAGTAATGTTTAATTGTATACACTTTAATGTATAGATAACCTGCATAAGTTGTATGATGAAATGAACATATAAGTGGTAACAATTGAGAAAATATAGTTTTAAGATAATATTTGTTCCTATTTGTATTGCAGTTCACGTCTCTGTAGAGCGTTGAGTTGACATTTGTATGCGTATTAACCAATGTTATGACTAATGCAAAATACTAGTTACACTATCAGCTGACCCGATCCCCGTTACATTATGAGGAACGTAATATATAATTTGTCATTCTGTCGACTGCACTCTCGGTCGTTGCGTAGCGAGTGTTCGAATTTCATGTAAACAAAAAAAACATACTACATATATGACACTCTACGATCGCTATTAGTCCCATACTGAACACAACGCGATGCGATGAACATCACCCTTTAGTGCGTGTGGTAGTTCAGTGAAGTTTGCTCACGATTCTACTACGATGCATCAGAATCGTAGTTTTACAAACTTGATGTATACGTACTTCCGCCATGTTCGTAGCGGTTATGAAATAACTGAATAAATCGAACTTGGCCGGCGAAGATGGTACTTGTGCTGGTCTATTCAATATGACATGTTTGGTCTAGACTGACACATTGTTATCAATGCGATCTACAGTAAAATATTATTGGTTCATATGGATATGGTAAATAACCATGGTAACGGGACTGCCTATGTGAATATGAAAGGTGTATAACAATTGTATTGTTTCCTGGACATTTAGTTATGATCTGTAATTAAACATAATTCGTAAAAATACGCTTCAAACGTCATATCACTCTTAACTTTCAGTTAACGCCAGATACTGATATGGTTGTAATAGAAGATTAAAACATATTGGTTGACTCAAAATATTTGGAGATTTCGTATGTTTGTATTTCTGAATATGTAGATGACGTTCATGTCCAGTAGATTCGCGTGAGCTCAGTTTAGTAGATTCGTTCAGCACGCCCATTCCCGAGTTGTAGATTCTCTAATGCATTCAACACAGGTGTCCTAATAGTCCTTCTACCGGCAAGTGTAATCGACCATGCAAACATGGCCGCTGCACAGACATATGCCCCTGGCCAGAGAATGAGCATGGCTATCCTCCAAGAGTACATTTTTCTTAAAATTGGTAAAGAGAGCGACAAGTTTCCACCAATCACGTTTAGTGTCATTACGTATACAGCCATGGCGGAGGCTTGACGTCCTGGCGGGGCTTGTTCCACGATTGCAGTAATTATGATTCCACTCCACATTTCATTTAAAAAATATCCAGGCACGAGGACGATAAAACACCATGGCGGCGGTAGAGTCAAAACCAACAACGCACAAGGAATTGTTGATAACTGTTGAATAAACAAAACATATGTCGCCGTATTAGCAAATGTTCATACTGCATAAGTGTTTTGTAATAGGTGGTGAAATTGTGTGTGACATTAGTAAAAGGACGACTGCATCTACAAAAATGG